AACCAGAGTGGTCTAACACCTCTTGATCTGCTAATCTTCCCGAGTGAAGCCGGCTATAGGGAAATTGAAGAGATCCTTCGTGGTGCCGGAGCTTCGAGAGCACAGGACATACACCATACTCCCTCTCATTGTCCCATGGAAACAAATTGTTGAACTATAAGTATTTGAGCTGAAATGTTTTAGAATAAGTTTTGTTTAAATTGGTGAATCCACTTGTGCAGAATGAGGCAAAGTGTAAATGTCTAGTTTTGTAAAAAGGCCATGAGTGCCATGTGTTGGTAGATCCATGAAATTAGAGAGATGTGTGTCTAGGATGAAATGTAGTAGTTTATGTGGTCCCAAGTTAAGGACCTTCAGTTAATGTAAAGCACGTGAGTGCTCATTTCTGAAAAAAAAAGAAGCAATTTTCCTCTGTAAAGTTTCTGCAGAGAAAAGAACAAGAAACCGTTCGCTTTCTCCAACCTTTGTTCATCGTGTGTTTTCTGTACAGCTCCATCTTCATCAAAACTCTCATTGAAATCAAGTTACACTAACATGGCCTCAGAGCCAGGTTGGGTCTAACAATCTGGGCGTAAATCTGTGAAGCTATTTTTGAGCTCAATCGAAGCTCTCTTGAAGCTCCGTGAACGTTGTCGATTCAGATCAAAACATGTCTGGATCTGGAGGCTCGGAAGTGAGGACTCCAATTTTCTCCGGTGAGAACTACGAGTTCTGGAGAATTAAAATGGCAACGATATTCAAATCCCTTGGGTTATGGAACCTGGTAGAGAAGGGGATTGAAACCTCCAATCCGAAGAAGAAGGAAGCTGGAGAAGCATCGAAGGATGATGAAGAAATGGTAGCTGTTCTGATGAAAGACACAAAGGCTTTGGGAATCATTCAGAATGCAGTCTCGGATCAGATCTTCCCACGAATCGCCAATGCCGAGTCAGCTAAGATGGCATGGGATTTGTTGTACGGGGAGTATCATGGTGGTGATCAGGTACGATATGTGAAATTGCAGAATCTTAGGAGAGAGTTTGAATATGCTAGGATGAGAGATGATGAGTCTTTATCTAGCTATCTTACACGGCTGAATGAGCTAATTAATCAAATGAGAACATTTGGTGAATCTCTGTCGAATGAGAGACTGGTGCAAAAGGTTTTGATTAGTCTTAGTAAACCTTATGATTATATCTGTTTGGTTATAGAAAACACAAAGTGTCTAGAGACTGTAGAGTTGCAGGAAGTAGTTGCAATCTTAAAAAGTCAAGAACAACGGTTTGATCTGCATACTGTTGATACTACTGGGAAAGCATTCTCATCTTTCTCAATGAGTTCAAAAGAGCAGGATAGGGGTGAAGGTCAATCTGGTTCATCTCGGTTCCAGAAAAATTGGAATAACAAGGGCAAGAAATGGGGTTCAAAACCTAAGTTTCAGCATAAATTTCCTGCTAATCCTGCACATAATGCACAGTCAATGAGGCAGATAGGTACAAAACCACAGTGCAGGGTATGTTCTAAGTTTCACTTTGGAGAGTGTAGGTATAAAGGGAAACCTAAATGCTATAACTGTGAAAAGTTTGGTCACTGGGCTAGAGAGTGCACAGTAGGTAAATTAGTGCAAAAGGCAAATAGTGCTAATCAGGTAGAGGTGACAGGGAACCTGTTTTATGCAAATAGCACAATCACTGAATCAAAAGTGAATGGAGAATGGTATGTAGACAGTGGTTGTAGCAACCATATGACAGGGGATTCTAAGTTGTTGATAGACATGAAGACAAATGTGGTTGGCAAGGTTCAAATGCCCACAGGGGAACTCATGAATGTGGCAGGTTTTGGTACACTTGTGATAGACACTAGCAAAGGCAGAAAATATGTCAAAGAAGTAATGTACCTACCTGGGTTGAAGGAAAATCTGTTAAGTGTGGGGCAGATGGATGAACACGGTTACTACCTGTTATTTGGGGGAAAGATGTGTAGTATCTTTGATGGACCTTCATTGGATTGTCTTGTACTCAAAGTTGAAATGAAAAAGAACAGATGTTATCCTTTGACACTGATACAAAATGATCAGGTTGTACTGAGAGCAGGTATTTCTAAGTCTACTTGGATATGGCACAAGAGACTAGGCCATCTGCATTTTAGAGGTCTTCAACAGCTTAAGAACAAAGAAATGGTGCATGGTCTCCCAGTTTTAGAAGAAATGGATGAAGTTTGTAAAGGTTGTCAGTTTGGGAAACAGCATAGAGAGTGGTTTCCAAAGAATCAAGCGTGGAGAGCAAGTAAACCTCTAGAACTGGTGCATGTAGATCTGTGTGGTCCTATGCAGAATGATTCTCTTGCGGGCAACAAATATTTCATGCTTCTTGTAGATGACTGTACAAGAATAATGTGGGTTTATTTTCTGAAATACAAGTCAGATGCATTGATCTGTTTTAGAAAATTCAAGTCCATGGTGGAATTACAAAGTGGTTTTAAGATAAAATGTTTGAGGAGTGACAGAGGGGGTGAATTCACATCTTGTGAATTCAACAAACTGTGTGAAGATGCAGGGATTCAAAGACAGTTATCTATGGCCTATACTCCACAACAGAATGGAGTGGTAGAGAGGAAGAACCGAGCTGTGGTTGAGATGGCAAAAGCTATGCTTCATGACAAAGGACTACCATACTACTTATGGGCAGAATCTGTACTCACAGCTGTCTATATATTGAACAGGTGTCCTACAAGAGCTCTTGGAGAAGTAACTCCATTTGAAGCATTCAGTGGTCGAAAACCTGGAATTGCACATCTTAGAATCTTTGGTTGTCTGTGTTATGTACACACACCAAATGAGTTGAGACAGAAACTAGATGCAAAGAGTGTCAAGGGCATATTTGTAGGTTATGCAACCTGTGAAAAGGGGTACAGAGTGTATGATCCTCTTAGTAAAAAGCTTATACTCTCAAGGGATGTTGTGTTTGATGAAAATGCAGCCTGGGAATGGAAGACAGCTCCTGAGAACTATGTAACTGTGTTTAATCCTATTGAGTTATCTGTGCTGCCTAAATGTATCTCATCAGAGACAACTCCAGAGGAAAATGATTATGTTTTGTCACCAAATCTGGCATTTTCTCATGAATCTGTAAGTGATGTGGACAGCAGCATGAAAATGACTCAAGCCTTTGATCACACTCCATTGAAATGGAGGAATCTAGATGATGTCTTGGCACAATGCAATCTTTGTATTATGGAACCTGAAAAATTTGAAGAGGCAGCCAAAGATGAAGCATGGATGAAGGCTATGAAAGATGAACTGTCAATGATTGAGAAGAATGCAACATGGGATCTGGTGAACAGACCAAGTGATAAACCCATAATTGGGGTTAAGTGGGTGTTCAAGACCAAGCTTAATCTCGATGGGACAGTGCAAAAGCATAAGGCAAGATTGGTAGCCAAAGGATATGCTCAGAAACCAGGTGTGGATTACAATGAAACGTTTGCACCTGTAGCTAGACTGGATACAATTCGGACTCTAATTGCTTTGGCAGCTCAGAAAAGTTGGAAATTATACCAACTAGATGTGAAATCTGCTTTTCTGAATGGAGTACTCGAAGAAGAAGTTTATGTAGAACAACCAGATGGTTTTGTGATCAAGGGGAGTGAAGACAAGGTGTACAAGCTTTATAAAGCTTTGTATGGTCTAAAACAGGCACCAAGAGCCTGGTATAGTGAAATTGATACCTATTTTGCTCACTATGGGTTTGTGAAAAGTCAGAGTGAAGCTACTCTTTACATCAAAGTAAGGGGAGGAGAAATTCTGATTGTTTCAATCTATGTGGATGATATAGTGTATACTGGGAATAGCACTGAGATGTTGAAGGAGTTCAAGGAAGACATGATGACAAAATATGAGATGACAGATTTGGGGCTCCTTCACCATTTTCTTGGTATGGGAGTGATTCAAACTCACACAAGCATATTTATCCATCAAAGGAAGTATGCTGGTTCTTTGTTAGATAAGTTTGGTTTGAATGAGTGTAAATATGTGTTTACACCACTGGTTTCATCAGAGAAGCTATGCAAAGATGATGGCAGTGGTTCAGCAAGTGAGGAACAGTATCGAAGAATTGTTGGAAGTTTGTTGTATCTCACAGCAACTCGACCAGATATAATGTATGCTGCAAGCCTTCTAGCTCGATTCATGCACTGTCCTACAAATAAACATCTTGGAACAACCAAAAGAGTGCTTAGGTACATCAAGGGAACTTTAGATTATGGTTTAGAGTATGTAAAGGGAAAGAATGCAATGCTAATCGGATTCTGTGATAGTGATTGGGGAGGATCTGTTGATGATAGCAAGAGTACTTCTGGTTATGCATTTTCCTTTGGCAGTGGAGTGTTCTCATGGGCCTCAGTGAAGCAGAATTGTGTAGCACTCTCTACAGCAGAAGCAGAGTACATCAGTGCCTCTGAAGCAACTGCTCAAGCCATTTGGCTTAGATTTGTTCTTGAAGATTTTGGTGAGATGAAAACTGAAGCAACTCCAGTACACTGTGATAATACATCAGCAATTGCAATTACTAAAAATCCTGTTTTCCATCAGAAAACCAAGCACATTGACAGAAGGTATCATTTTATCAAGAATGCACTCCAGGAAGGGATAATCGATTTGGTGTACTGTCCAACAAATGAGCAGGTGGCAGACATATTTACTAAGGCTTTGTCTAAGGATCGATTCAACTATCTTCGAGATATGCTTGGTGTGAAATCAGCTCAAAACTTAAAGGGGAGTGTTGAACTATAAGTATTTGAGCTGAAATGTTTTAGAATAAGTTTTGTTTAAATTGGTGAATCCACTTGTGCAGAATGAGGCAAAGTGTAAATGTCTAGTTTTGTAAAAAGGCCATGAGTGCCATGTGTTGGTAGATCCATGAAATTAGAGAGATGTGTGTCTAGGATGAAATGTAGTAGTTTATGTGGTCCCAAGTTAAGGACCTTCAGTTAATGTAAAGCACGTGAGTGCTCATTTCTGAAAAAAAAAGAAGCAATTTTCCTCTGTAAAGTTTCTGCAGAGAAAAGAACAAGAAACCGTTCGCTTTCTCCAACCTTTGTTCATCGTGTGTTTTCTGTACAGCTCCATCTTCATCAAAACTCTCATTGAAATCAAGTTACACTAACACAAATACCCTTCAGCTGCAGCAGCCAAACGACCCGATGGAATACTTCAAGTTCAAAAAGGGCAGAGACTCTCCCAGCGATGCACGCACGGCGCTGCTAGTTATTGCTGTACTAGTGGCCACCACCACCTTTCAAGCCGGACTCAGCCCTCCGATGGGCATTTGGCAGGACAGCCCTGGATCAAACATGAATGGGACTGGCAGTGGGAGCAATGAACCAGCGCACACAGCAGGGCAGTCCATCATGAGTTCTTACAAGATATTAGGATTTTTCTTCTTTTACACTTCCAACTCGATTAGACTTTCGTTTTCGCTTTACATGATCCATGTCCTCACCACCAATTTCCCTCTGCAGTTGGAGCTTAACATTTGTATGTTCACGATGTTCTTGACGTACTGTTCTGCAATTTCCGAAATTGGACCGGAGATCATGTCCCACCCTGTGTTCGCTTTAACTATGCCAGCGTTGGTAGCGTTGGTAAGGGTGTGGTAAGCGTAATGCACCCGCTTAGATGACCTGCAGTAAATTGGACTCGAAGGCTCATTTTAAAATAGTTGTACATTACACGTCTGTTTCCAGGATCATCGTTGGCGCATTCATCATAGAAGCTCCAGCTTCGTATCAAAGTCAGTCGTGACTATCATAAATACCGTACATTTGCTATGTATTACTAAATCTTTGGTGTGGACTTCTTATATGATATAGCGTTAAGAATTCAGTACGAAAACAGTAAAACAGAATTATTTGCACTAATTCTTCCTCTTGATTTATGATGGTGTTAGTTCTATAAGTCGACATCTTTGCCAGCCGCAATTGATACTGCCGTTTGATACTGCAAATGAAAGCCCGGTGGATGCGCAAAATTTCAAGCCAATCTTACAGATTGTATGAAGAAAGGAACAATGTAGTTGGTAGCACAGAAGTTTATAATCTTCTAGTTGGAGTAATCTAATTAAGGCTATAATATTCATACAGAAGGTTTTACAAAATGATCATCTTTCGACATGTATAACAATGGCGATCTTTAATCACAATGACTTGTACAGCTCGATCAAATGAGAAGCATGGAGGCACCACGTAGGAGCCACGGTGCAGCCCAAACTTTGCAGATAAGAAATCTGGTAATTCACAGCATAAGAATCGAATTACCGGGTCTCCTGACCATCCTACGTACCAATGTGCGCACAAGGAAATGAGTAAGGTAATCAAATGCTGAGTCCTGCGTACCTGTTTCGGTGTTGGTTCGGATGAACCCATTTAGTTCTCAATCCGTAACTTCTGGAAATGCTCCTGAAAGCATAAATTTAAGCACATCATGAAATCCCCCTTGCGGGATTTTCCTTATTTTTTCTAACTCATCTTCCCACTCGCGTATAGTTTTGTTACCAAGAAAAGCTCCCAGGACTTTGAGTGCTAAAGGCAGGCCTTGAGCATATTTTACAACACGATTCGATAGATCATCATAATCTCTGGTGGGTTGGTTTTTTCCGAAAGCGTGCTGCCTAAAGAGTTTCAGAGCTCCAGAATCACTCAAAGTCTTGGGATTATATATCACATCAGCTACGCTTAGTAATTGCGAATCTCTAGTTGTTATAATAATTCTGCTTCCACCACCAAAGAAATGTGGCTCTCCAAGTAGAGCTTCAATTTGTTCTAATTTGTCCACATCATCAACAACAATAAGAACTTTTCTCTGGCCAAGGCTTTTTAACATCACCTGAAAACCTTTACTCGATATGTCAGAGCTCCCCACCTTGTTGTCCGAGATACTAGATAGAAGTTGTGTCTGCATAAGTAGTTCGCCGTGCTTCATGAAACCCTCCTTGACATTTTTAAGAAAGCAACAAGCTTCAAATCGACAAGCGATTTTATCATAAACAGCATTAGCGATGGTAGTTTTACCTAAACCACCCATACCCCATATTCCAACAACTCGAACATTATTCGTTTCACCTCCGGGAGGATATAATAATAAATGCATTTCATGCATGCGAGAATCCATGTCAACCAAGCCATTATCTTTGCTTGATGTTGATGAGATGTCGATCAATTTCCTATAAACATATTCTACAATTTCCTCAGTAAGCACCACATCATTCCTGTCAAATTAAAAAATACAATATAATAACACCACCAAATAATAATTAATGGGTTTTTTCATCTGTTAGTTAAAAAAAAAAACAGAAATTAAAACTAAAAACTAGATATTTATAAAATTACCGCAAAACGTTACAAAAATCCCAAAAATTAATAGGAAACTAAAACAAATTAGAATTTACTCATAGTTTCGCGAATCCCAGCCGGATAAACTGGTGGCAGTTGTAAGAGCGGATCTCCAGCTCTGAACCTCTTCCATTTCGGCGTTAGAATCGCGATCGTGCTGAGCAAAAGCTTCCGCGAAACTTTTCTTGAGTTTACGAACATCAGACGGATCAACTTCATAGAAAATGGGGAGTACAATCTGGTTATTGGTATCCTTGCATTTCAAGATTTGCACGAGTTCTTTCAAGCACCAAGTGGAAGAAGCATAGTCTTGAGAGAAAACTACAATCGAAAGCCTTGACTCTCGAATCGCTGTCAGGAGCTCAGAAAGGTGGTCGCCTTTTCTGAGCTTCTCGGCATCAATGAAGGCGTTGATTGGTTTCTTAGCCAGAGCGTTGTAGAGATGGCTGACGAAGCCCCTGCGAGTGTCTTCCCCTCTGAAATTGATGAACACATCGTATTTGCAACCAAGGCCAGAAGAAGATGAAGAAGAAGAAGCAGCCATTATTAATCGATCGCACCTGGTCAGCGATGATCGAGCAGCTAAGACTAAGAGAATTGTAAGTACAGAGATACTCAATAGATCTACAAATTGGATCACCAGAAATTAGTCTGATCGATACCAAGTCAATGAGTCAATGCAAAAGGGAAAAAGGGGAAAGGGAAATTATGCTTTATGTTTTTTCACATCTTCTTCGGGGAAATTTCGGTGTGAAAGGAATCTTATCCTTTTGATTTTTTAACCGAAGCAAATGCGAAGAAAAGGGTCAAGGTGGAAAATTGAATAGGACAAGGATTGTCAGCCCTTCCACATCTGGTGCTCTTCCGTGCCCTTTTGTTTATGTTGTCACGGTTAAACCACATTAACATTTTATATTACTATTTATTTTTGTCTTATTATCTCTATAAAAAAACAATATAAAATGTTGACGTGACTTAACCGTGACCACACAAAACAGAAGGGCACGAAAGAACACCGAAAATAGGAGAGCTGACAATCCTTGTCCAAACTTAACCGTAAGACTTTTTGTAGTGAGCTACACCGGATGACTTGATATATTATGACGAAATAAACTATTTAAATATACGGCTTACATTGCGCAGTGCGCATACTGGATAAACAATTAGCGCACCTGATTGTAGGGAATGGTGATGCTCATCGCTTAATTTCGTTATTGGATTAGTTTAAGTTTTGAGGTTTGTGAAATGGACAGATATAAATTTTAAAATTTAAACTCAGTCAATAATAATAAATATGGTAGTGAGAAAAAATGCACCAGTGACTTGTGGTTTAGAGACACACTCTCAAACTTAAATAACAATTTTCATGCTTTCCAACAACACAAAAATTTTATAACTAAAAATCAATCAAAACATAATAATTGAATGAACGAAGAAAGCGTATTAAAATAAGGTTTTCTGACATATTTTGAGTGACACTTGCCACAATAACGAAGAAAGCGTGGTATTGTTGCACCTGCCATAAAGTCAAGCTTGACATTCTACAGTTGGAAGGCTAGCTGGCTGACTAGAAATGGCCAGCCCGTTGGCTTGATTTGGGGGTTTTGGCCAGATGGGGCCCACAAGCCCTTTGGCCTAGCCTTCGATTGAAGATGGTTTTCGTGTCATTCCGAGCTATTTTTAGCCCTATGACCTTTTGGCTGGGTCAGTTAGAGATGGCTTTAGGTGCGGTGATCGTAATACCCTGAAAATTTAAATATATGAATATGTTGGGAAAAATTGAAAAAAAATCGATTTATGGTTATGGAAAATTTAATTGAGAACTTTTAAAGTTTTTCCGGAAATTATTATAAATTACGTATTTGTATTCTTAAGATTTTATATGAATTTTCAAGAATTTATAATAATTTAATTTAGTTTAGTTTTAAATTAAACTAGTTACAAAGTTGGAAGTTTGGAAATTATTTATTTAAAATATGTAGACCATTCGAGGTCACAATTTATATTTTTGAATAGAGCTCGATCTCATGAACGCGTGGCGCAAACCGTTAGTAAAACGGAGTTCTAACGAAGAAGTTATTAACATTTAAAGTCATGAAAATTTTGGTAATTTTATTCATTTTAGAAGGCTCCAGAAAATCTAGAGCAATGAGTTGTGCCACGTGTGTGGCTGGGATGAAAACAATTGGAGAGATGGATGGTTGTGATTAAAGGAAAATAATAGAAATGAGGGTAACCAATGGGGAGAGAGAATGAGGAGGGGAAAGGAGAAAAAGGAGAAGGAGGGGAACCCGACCCTCTCCTTCGACCCGGTTTTCTGACCCGAGCCCCACGCACACCCAACACCGATTTCGGTGTTTTTTCCCGGTGAATTGAGCGCCGCCACCACCCCTCCTGACTCCTCTCATTGTCACGAACGGTATCCGTCCACATTTGGCTCAGTTTTGATCATGATTTCAGAAGAAAAGGGAGATGGACCCGTGAGGGTTTCAGAGTTTTCCGACGACAAATCCGTCGTCTCCGGTCTCCACCGTTCCCACCACCACCACCTCCAGTTGATTTCACTTGAACCCAGGAGCAAGGCCTAAGCACTAGCAGGGGCATCGGAACATCAATGGAGTCGAATCGAATCCCACCATTTCTAGGGTTTCCGGCGAGTTTGAGTGAAATTGGGGCACTTCCACGCCAAATTGGACTTAGCCATAGGTATGAAATTTACTCCACTCACTGAGATCTACTTGCCTGTAAAATTTGGTAATTTTTTGAAATAGTTGAATTTTCCGACAAGCCGGAGTGGCCAACCTCCACCCACGACTGCGGGTGCGGCGGCGCACGGTCAGGGAGCCGACATTGTGTTATTATGCGAATTTCGTTATTCTAATTAGGCTTTTGAGACCTAACTTCTGTGGTTTGAATATTAATACGATTGTGGTATATGTTGGATTAAATAAATATATTCGGATTTGGTTTGAGTTTTGGAAATGTGAACTACGAATGACTTGATTCCTGTTTAGGGTACATAGGTAGTATAACAAGATGTTAGATGCAGCTATACAATAAGTTAGATTAAATAAACGAGACAAAGCTTTGATTGAGAAAGTGAACTGAGTAAGGAGTTTGGAATTTTATTATAAAAGGAAATCTTATGTTTTGTACATATAAATTCTTGTTATAAATTGTGTGAACGTTTTATAAATTTAAGCAAGAAATTATGTAATTATGATAATTGGACAATTGAGTTTGATCTCTTGTTGGGAAATAGAGTCGATATGAAGGTATTGGTGTTGAAGTAAAAATATAAATGTATGTTTTGCTAAGTAAGTTTGGTGGATACTTATGTGAGTAGTTAGGAAAATTTTTTTTTAAAGAATAAAGTGTACCGATAATAAATCAAACAAGAGAAGTGAATTGGGCCTATCATTGGAAATATTTCCTGAAAATAAATATTTCGGGGTTGGGGCGTTTCAGTGATTGTCTTTGAGATATCGAAGGTTCTGTGTGATCGAATACTTCGTCCTCCTCCAGAGCCGCCACTGTTGAGAGGGTTACTTGCCTCATGCAAACATTATGAATTGTAAGTGATGAATTGTTCTGATGATGAGGTTTATTTTTTAACTCATTATGTTTTGAGTTTAAACATTTTTCCCTCTCTTTAATGTATATAAGATTAGTGTAAAATATTGTTCGTAATAAAAAAATATAAAAATGATACATTCTCATTCATATATAAGATGATCAAGTGTGGAATTAATACTTTTAACGAGTGACTCAATTAACCATTTTCATTTCTTACGCATTCAAAATTAGACAAATTCTTTGCATACATTTAAAAAAAAAAAGATATTCAGGAGACTTTGAAACTATTACATTACGGGAGAGGGAATTTTGAACTCGGGACGCATGAGTAGAACCCAAACGCTTCTCCACTAGGATATTAGACTAGTGCCGGTCCTGAATTTTTTGGTGCCTGGAGCGAATAATGTGCCCTTTTCAAGTACAACAACATAAATTAAAAAGAAATATTTAAAGAGGGTTGGAACCCAGTCGAAGCCGGGGGGCTAGGCCCTCACGCCCATATTATATTACTCTGAAAACAAAAAAACATACAACATGGGAACATAGTACTGAAACCTCGACAATCAAAAGCAAAATCAAATACAACCACTCCAAGCAGTTAACATAGCCATCACATATTGAATCCAAAAGGTTGACTACCCATTCGCTGCATATAATGTGCAGAAGATAACAAATTCTGAAGTGATATGCTCCCAAGTATGATATTGGGCAGAAAAGAGCGGCGGCTTCAACCACTTCTTCAGCTATATCCGGCTGGGTGAGAGCAGCTAAAGACATGATTGTTCCCTAATTACATGAATACATGGAGTAAACACCAAAAGTAGCAGCAAGGGAAGGAGATTTGAAGTAGATGAAGAGGTGTGAAGAGTCTAAAGACCTGTGAATGTCCAACAACAAAGACTTCGGAGCTTGTTGTCGAATATATGCAGCGTATCATTTCTGACAGATCAAATCGAGCCAATTCCTGCCAACTCCAATCCCAAAAATCCTACAGTAAAGCATAAATCTTATTCTTTTCTGATAAAGATGTGCCCCTAACTCCAATGTGTTTGACGCACAATTCCTACCCATACATAGAAACCTTCATCTGCAAAGACAAATTCCAGCGATTCTTCTGGAGAATTTAAGAACCATGCATCACCTGGTTAGAGCCTAATTTAAAATGTATCCGATGGATGTTCATCAATTTACACAATAGTTAGTTTCAAGAAAGGAAATTTCAACAGAACCTGAAAACTTCAGATCAGGGGGCACCAAATAGTGAGCTATACATTCAAAATTTAAAATAATCAACTTAGTAGGACCAATATGTTGAAAAAATTAGAAGGAGCTATGAAAGTAAGGCTTTTCACTAATCAGGCGTCCAGAGAATCAATATTTTACTCACGTATCAGTTACGGGGAACAATCCCCACCAGAGCAATCTCATTAGTTCTTCACATCTCAACCGTACAGAAATTACACTAACAAACACGACTCCTGTTAGTCCTTCACATCTCAAATCCAGGAAGTACCCATCTTTCGTCTGAATCTGGAAAATAAGCAGCACTCAATTTAACAATCTGGGTATCTCAAAGTTACTCACTTTAATCACAAATTTAACAATTAAACATATAAATGGGCATTTTCTAGTGAAATATTAGTATAGTACTCACTGTGTGCTCGGAGCAAGAGCACCCAGAAAGCTCAATGAGCTGTGCAGTGAGGGACTGTAGCGGTGAATGACGGCAACCGATTCTGTAAAATTCAGTCGAGTTTTAGGCGATTTCGGAGGTCAAGAGGCTGATGAGGAAAGCTGGGACGGAAGGGCACTGGTCTGGAAGAAAGGCTCTGGTCGCCGCTGTCGCGATTTGCAAAGGAAGAAGTGACATTCTTCCAAATAGGAAGATGAAATCGTTAAGGCTTTTATTTATTCCTCCTCTTGATGCGCCCTTTTAGACTGCCAATTCCAGACGATCCAATCTCATATATCTTCCCTGCAAAAGCATGTGTGCCAGACTTCAAGATCAAAATTTTCCAACAAAAGAAACTTAAAGATCAAACTCGTTAGCGGAATAAATGGTGCACAAAGGGAGTTAAAATCTTGACAGATGTATATTTTTGGCAGATTTTATGTGAGCATGCAATTTTCTGTAGAACTTAAAAGCTGCATAGCTGCTCTTGTTCGTTGTATTGAATACCATGGTTTTACTGATGAATGCAGAGTTTGCTGACGATTCATACGACAAGCAAATGAATCATCCACTGTAATTTGCAGAGTTTACTGATGAATGCCCCACATATACCCAAAAAAAAAAAGTCATTTAAACAAATTCAGAGCGTTCATCCACTGTAATTTGCAGATATAGACACGTTAAGATAAAAGGAAATGCAAAGTACCTTTCACCCAAATTGGAGGAGCAACGGTGGCATTAGCAAGTTAGCAACGGGAATTGACATACCAACATCTTCACAGTTTCTGCACAAGCACAAATCAATAGAATCCGGCGGTGGAGTTATGTACCTCTCCTTGGAAAATGCCACCTCTTGGGATTTCAAAATATGCGGCCGTGGCTAGCCATCTGACAACGCCAATTCCACCAAAGCCGCCGCAATGGGGCATAGTGTCCGATTGATTGCTTCAAACAGAGTACCCAAAACCCCTGAAAATTATTTCTTTATTCAGATAATAAAATTTCCCAAATTTCGAATTTTAATTCCGTATCAAAAATAGGGTTTGAATTTTGATTACCTAGAAATTGGAGGGTTGGGGCGAACACGGAGCGTGTCGGGAATACCTACAAGGCTTTTGCAGTGTATCAGATTTAAATACTGAAGCCCCGTAAGCCGTTCAATCCAGGGGGAAAGCTCTTTGATAGATGTTCCATCCAAGAAAAGCTCTCTTAATCCTTCCATATCTTCTTTAATGCTTGGAAACACCTCAAATTTTGTACAACCGGAAAGAGAGAGAGAGACAAGGGACTTGAGCTGACAAATGCTGCTTGGAAGACTCTTAAGTTCCTTGTAATTTTTTAGTTTCAAATGATTCAATCCTGTGAGATTATTAATTGATGATGGCAATTCTTTAATTTTTGACCATGATAAATCAAGAATTTTTAACCCCTCAATCACTTCTGAAATATCTGGAAACATCTCAAGATTCCAACAACCATAAAAATAAAAGGTTTTGAGAGATTTCATACGAATGCTGCTTGGAAGACTCTTAAGTTTTTGACAATTTGATAGGTTCAAATGATTCAACCCCGTGAGATTATTAATTGACGAGGGTAGTTCTTTAATTTTTGACCCGGATAAATCAAGCTCTTCTAACCCCTCAATACCTTCTGAAATCGATGGAAACATCTCAAGGCTGGAGCAATCATAAAGATTAAAGGTTTTCAGACACTTCATATGAATGCAGCTGGGAAGACTCTTAAGTTCCTTGCAATCTTTTAGGTTGAAATGACTCAACCCTGTGAGATTATTAATTGACAGGGGCAGTTCTTTAATTTTTGACCAGGATAAATTAAGCTCTTCTAACTCCTCCATACCTTCCGAAATCTCTGGAAACATCTCAAGACTAGAGCAGCGAGAAAGATTAAAGGTTTTGAGAGATCTCATACGAATTTTGCTGGGTAGAATCTTAAGTTCCTTGCAATTTGATAGGTTCAAATGACTCAACCCCGTGAGATTATTAATTGATGGGGGCAGTTCTTTAATTTTTGACCTGGATAAATTAAGTTCTTCTAACTCTTTCATACCTTTTGAAATCTCTGGAAACATCTCGAGACTGGAGCAGCCAAGAAGATTAAAGGTTTTGAGAGATCTCATACGAATTTTGCTAGGTAGAATCTTAAGTTCCTTGCAATGTGATAGGTTCAAATGACTCAACCCCGTGAGATTATTAATTGATGGGGGCAGTTCTTTAATTTTTGAATAGGATAAATTAAGTTTTTCTAACTCCTCCATACCTTTTGAAATCTCTGGAAACATCTCAAGATTGGAGCAGCCAGAAAGATCAAAGGTTTTGAGAGATCTCATACGAATTTTGCTGGGTAGAATCTTAAGTTCCGCGCACCAATTCAGATCCAATAAAACAAGGTTTGTAAGAGTCGAAATAGACGCGTGAACCTCAACTAAGCTTATACAACTTCGAACAATTAGCCTCTCAAGATTTGGCACATTTGTGAAGTCAGGGGTTTCCTTAAGGGATTGACAATGACTTAAATTGATGAATTTCAACTTTTCCTGCGTCTGTTAAAACATTCAGGAAAACATGCATTACTTAATAAGACATCTCACTCAAAGCCCAAACATTTAAAAGAAACAAATACATGTAAATGATTGTACGTACCTGGGTTCCTTCCCAAAGTCGATCAATGAGACTATATTGCATGTCAAGTTCAACAAGATTTTCGAATTGAAAGTTGGATGGCAAAGACTTGAGAGGGAAATCAAGCCAGGAGAGATACCTCAGGTTAAGCAACTTTAAGGACCCAAACAGGTATTGTTTGCAGTACTCATCTTTAAAAACGAAGTGCCTATGACTGATCTCGAGAAGTCTTTGTTGAGTCCTTCCAACAACAGCTTCAGCATTTAAGTTCCTATGATGACTGATCTTGAGAAGTCTTCGTTGAGTCCTTCTAACAACAGATTCAGCATTTAAGTGCCTATGACTGATCTTGAGAAGTCTTAGTTGAGTCATTCTACCAAAAGCTTCAGCATTTAAGCATGGCCAGCCTGAGTACGAGAAATCCACAATTATGCTTTCAACTGTTTTTGTAGCCTGTGCAAATCAAAGTAAAGGAAAATACAGAGAACCTTAGTTTTGATTATGAAATTAATGATTGTTTCTTAAGGAGCCGTCTGATAATCATTTCATTTTCTGTTTAATTGTTTTCAATTTCATTATTACAACAATGAAAACTAAAAATTGAAAACAAAAATGGTTATCAAACGGGTCTAAGAAATTGATTTTGATCAAAAGTTGAACCTTTCTACTAACAATTGCATAAGAAAAATATTTCTCACCGCATTTTCAGTTAGCACCTGACGAACATCTTCATAACTCCACAACCTACTTCGTCTCCCAGGATCTTTGATAGATTCTTGGCGGACAATTTCCCAACCCATTTCCTCTAATGAATCATGCATCTCCAATTCCCCCAACCTTGAGACAGTTATGAGAGATCGATCGATTAGAACTTTTATTCCTGTATGAGGATGGAAACCACAACTGTCCAGAATTTCAGTTGCCTGGTCTTCCTTCATCCCTTTAAAGAAACATGCAATATCTAGAAAGATGTCCTTCTGCGTGTCATCTAGTCCATCGAAGCTTGTTTTAAGCACATCATGAACTCCCCTTTGTGGGATTTTCCTTATTTTTTCCAACTCACCTTCCCACACGCGTATGGTTTTTTTATGCAAAAAAGCTCCCAAGACTTTGAGGGCTAAAGGCAGACCTTGAGCATATTCTACAACACGATTCGAGAGATCATCATAATCTCTAGTGGGTTGGTCATTTCTGAAGGCGTGCTGCCTAAAGAGTTTCAGAGCTCCAGAATCACTCAAAGTCTTGGGATTATATATCACATCAGCTATGCTTAGTAACTGCGAATCTCTACTTGTTATAATAATCCTACTTCCACCACCAAAGGAATGTTGCTCTCCAAGTAAAGCTTCAATTTGTTCTAATTTGTCCACATCATCAACAACAATAAGAACTTTTCTCTGACCAAGGCTTTTTAACATCACCTGGAAACCTTTACTCAATATGTCAGAAATCCCCACCTTGTTGTCTGAGATACTAGATAGAAGTAGTGTCTGCATATGTAGTTCACCCTGCTTCATGAAACCCTCCTTGACATTTTTAAGAAAGCAACCAGCTTCAAATCGACAAGAGATTTCATCATAAACAGTTCTAGCGATGGTTGTTTTGCCTAAACCACCCATACCCCATATTCCAACAACGCGAACATTATTCGTTTCACCTCCGGGAGGATATAATAATAAATGCATTTCATGCATGTGAGAATCCATGTCAACCAAGCCATTATCTTTGCTTGATGTTGATGAGATGTCTATCAATTTCCTATAAACATCTTCTACAATTTCCTCAATAAGCACCACATCATTCCTGTCAAATTTAAAAAACATATAATAACAACATCAAATAATAATTAATGGGTCTTTTTCATCTGTTAGTTAAAAAAAAATAGAAATTAAAACTAAAACTAAAATCTAAACGTTACAAAAATCCCAAAAATTAAAAGGAAACTAAAACAAATTAGAATTTACTCATAGTTTCGCGAATCCCAGCCGGATAAACAGGTGGCAGTTGTAAGAGTAGATCTCCAACTCCGAACCTCTTCCATTTCGGCGTTAGAATCGCGATCGTGCTCAGAAAAGCTTGTGCGAAACTTTTCTTGAGCTTACGAACATGAGACGGATCAACTTCATAGAAAATGGGGAGTACAATCTGGTTATTGGTATCCTTGCATTCCAGGATTTGCACGAGTTCTTTCAAGCACCAAGTGGAAGAAGCATAGTTTTGAGAGAAAACTACAAGCGAAAGCCTTGACCCTCGAATCGCTGTCAGGAGCTCGGAAAGGTGGTCGCCTTTTCTGAGCTTTTCCGCATCAATGAAGGCGTTGATTGGTTTCTTAACCAGAGCGTTGTAGAGATGGCTGACGAAGCCCCTGCGAGTGTCTTCCCCTCTGAAATTGATGAACACATCGTATTTCCAACCAAGGTTAGAAGCAGCAGCCATTAATCGATCGCACCTGGTCAGCGATGATCGAGCAGCTAAGACTAAGAATAATGTAAGAACAGAAATACTCGATTGATCTATAAATTGAATCACTGAAGAAACTGGTCTGATCGATACGAAGTCAACGAAGACAAAGAAAATAATGCTTTATGTGTTTTCACATCTTCTTCCGGGAAATTTAACGAAAATAATTTTCCTTTAGGCAAAATTGACTTCAAAATATAAAAATATTCTTTCAATTATGGACATATGACATTTCGGTGTGAAACGAATATGCTTATTTGGTTTGGTTTGGACCCAAGAAAGGACAAAGATTGTCTGCCCTCCTACTTCCGGTGCCCTTCCATGCCCTTCTGTTTGTGTAGTCACGGTTAAGCCACGTCAACATTTTATATTACTATTTATTTTTGTCTTATTATCTCTATAAATAAGCAATATAAAATATTAACGTGGCATAATCGTGACCACAGAAAACAAGAGTTGGCACCAAAAATAGGAGGACAAACAACCCTTGTCCCCCAAGAAAATGCTAAGAAAGGATGGTTTAGCAGCTGTGCATGAGGGGACTGGGTCAAAGTACCCTGTTGAATCCACTCTTGCCTACCCAACAACTTATTTAGTTATTTGTAAGCCCGAAATATATCCCGATCTTTCTATTCACACCAAAAGTAAGTAGAGTGATAAGAAATATTTCCGGTTAAGTATAAGCATGTCAGTCTGCAGCAGCATAGCCACGTTAAGGGCTACCGTGGGCTGTAGTCTATGTAATTTTCAGTGAAAAATAAAATTTTACATGTAATTTTTATTGATTTTCAAATATACTTCTTCATATATACAGTCTTTAATCTGAATTATCTCATTTTAATTATATAATTATATAATACAGTTTACAAACTGTCTCTTTTTCTTACATCATTTTTCTCACCGCTTCTTGCACATGTACAAGTTTGGATTTTGTTTGAATTTTAACACGTATTTGTTTAAAAACGAAAATCCTTGGCTTACATAGTGAAAATTTTCTTAAGTTAGCTGATACTTTGAAAAATACAGGATCAAGTTTCTTTGTTTATAAAGATTTAAATCTTTAAGCTAGCCCACCCGGTGAAAAATTCCTAACTCCGTCATGCATTTTACATATAATTTTTATTGATTTTCAAATGTAGTCCATCATATATACCGTCTTTAATCTGAATTCTCTTGGTTTAATTATATAAAATTATATAATACAGTTTACAAACCGTCTCTTTTCTTACATCCTTTTTCTCACTGCTTCTTATACATGTACAAGTTTTGATTTGTTTGAATTTTAACACGTATTTGTTTAATAACGAAAATCATTGGCTTACATAGTGAAAATTTTCTTAAGTTAGCTGATACTCTGAAAAATACAAGATCAAGCTTCTTTGTTTATAAAGATTTAAATCTTTAAGCTAGCCCCCTGGTGAAAAATTCCTAGCTTCGCCATTGAGCATGTGGTATATCCTATGATATCATGGACGGCAAACGAGCGATTAATGGTTGTTTGGCATTTAATTTGATGTCACGGTAGTAACGGTACTCTAAAATCTTTGATATACTTGCTTTCAGCTACAAAACTACTAGAACTCCGAAAATTGCTTATGAAAATAAAAATATTGACTAGATTTGAACTTGTATAATCTATGTCTTCACTACACATTGTTGTGTTCGCTCGTGTTCTAAAGTTGACGCTAGCTAGAAGGTCACAGCAAGAAGCAGAGGAGGCTAACTATTGCAGAAATTTGTTTATTCAAAAGCATTTGTAAAAACACATATTGAAATTAATTCACGCCAAAAATAAATAATACAGTGGTGGCAGGCACACTACAACAATAGGGTTTTAACCCTATGCATTTTTATATTGGCTTTTGTGTTATCAGTTGCGACCGCTCGGTGGAGAGAGCATTTTATGTTATGAATAAAAATACCACTGCGTAACAAAATAGAAGATTAATGGTTGAGTGATAGCTGGTTTGTTTGCAATGAGAGAGATGTTTTTGCTTTTATTGATAATGAATCTATATACGCGATGTTTTCATAGCATAAAACATCGCCGACAACAATTGTAACTTTTTGTGTTGATAAATTAGGAAAGACATTAATATTTTCTAATATCTAAAAGAATTTGGATGTCTACATTTTTTTGGAAAACTTTTTACCCTTCTAAATTTCGCGCCTCTCCCGACAATTCCTAGCTTCGCCACTGCTATAGTCAACTCCAAGTCTTGTCCATGATATCAATATCCCTACTGTAAACGGTGACTTCAATATAAGCTAACAAAAAGTTTGTATAGAGAAGATATATGCATGAAAAAATGGCAGTGTTTGTGTTGCCGAACGGATGATACTGAAATACCTAAACCCAAGTCAAGCTCCTTTAGTCCACAAAAACAAAAGTTTAGAATACAATAATGTTTGCATATAGATTGGAGAAACGACATACCACCGGCCAGGAAGGTGCAGTGAAAGAGAGAGGAAAAGAGGAAAGAAACAAATACGAAATGACAAAGACTATCAAATAGATTATAACAATGACTTCTTAGCGGTGATCACAACTATTCAACTATCGATGATGCTTTATTTTAGATTGAGATGTGGAAGCATCTGAGAAGTAGCATGTCAACAACCATTACACAATAATATTGTCTAATATCTAAAAGAACTTGGATATCTACATTTTTTTAGAATCTTTTACCCTTATAAATTTCGCACCTCTTCAGACAATTTCTAGCGTTGCCGCTGCTTCAGTCAACTCCAAGTCCTAGTGGTTCTTGTCTATGATATCAATATACCCATTGTAAATGGTGATTTCAATATACATAGAGTGTGTACAGGGGAGATATATGTATGAAAAAATGGCAGTTGTTGTATCTGTGTTGACGAACGGATGGTACTGGAATACCTAAACCCAAGTCAAGCTTCTTCAGTCCACAAAAACAAAATGTTTATTATATAATAATGTTTGCATATGGACTTGCGAAACAACATACCGCCGGTTGGGAAGGTGCAATGAAAGAGAGAGGAAAGGGGGAAATAAACGAACAAGAAATGACAAAGGCTATCCAATATATTATAAAATGACTTCTTGGCAGTGATTAAGCTATTCAATTATCAATAATGCATTATTCTTAAAGTTTATAATATAATAATGTTTGCATATGCACTTGCGAAACGACATATCGTCGACTGGGAAGGTGCAATGAAAGAGAGAGGAAAGGAGGAAATAAACGAACAAGAAATGACAAAGACTATCCAATATATTATAAAATGACTTCTTGGCAGTGCTTAAGGTGTTCAACTATCAATAATGCATTATTCTTAGGTTGAAATGTGGAAGCATCCGAGAAATAGCATGGTAACAACCACACAATAAACAAAAGTGATTAGAGAAAAGAACCAAATGTGAAAGGATAATTAAAAACAGTTATTCAAGATCGGCGGTAAATCATTCAGCTATTTACAAGATTTGAACTTAGAACCGCAATCTACTAGATTGTTGTATCAACTATTAAGTGGTGTTCTAATATAATTCTTAGGAATTTCAAGGAGGCATATGGGGGTGGATCATTTTTTTTCTAAATTCGACAGTACAAAGAAGAATTTAATTGATAACGGAAAAAATAAGTTACATATAGAGCTGGAGCATATAATAGACCCAAATTGACCATTTTTAGGCTCCACTGCTAAGAACTATTGCAAAATGCTCATTAGGATTACCCTGTGAACTCCGTCCTTCCACACCAAGCCTCCAAACTCAGTCCGATATGTTGCAGCTAGTTTAGATACTTGTCCCCTGCATGTTACAGAATCACAAGAGCAAGCTTACAAAACTGCAGTTTTTACTCATAGTTATTGCAAATGAAAATACAGGTTGGTGCCAGCAATTATCAGTGTAATTCTCTATCCGACGGTATTTCTCTCGCCTTCTCTTGATAATTTCGGATGTGACATGTTTAAGATAACTCTTCCAAACACGTTGCTTATGCCTAATTTTTAATACCACCATATCATATCATAGTAAATCCAAATAACTATCGAATGGCATTTAGGCATCTAGAATATCAAATGCATTACTTTACATTGAAAATTCATTTATTCAATAGCATTAATACACTAGTAAAAAAAACACTTTGCACGACGTAGGTCCTTCGTCGCGCAAAGTCAAAACATGTCGCGCAAAACTTTGCCCAACGAACCTTCGTCACGCGCAAACCGTCGCAGCAAGGCAGTGACATAAGGCTTTGCACGACGAAGGGTTACATGCATCGCGCAAAGCCACTTTGCGCGACGCATGTAACCCTTCGTCGCGCAAAGCCATTTTGTGTGATGCAGGCTGCGTCGCTCAAAGT